GAGCTTTCTGCACTTGGCCCACCCATCAAACTTCATACCTTGCCTGCTTCCATCGCTTGCAGTTTCCCTTACTGTGAGCAATGGCTGCATCTACCCAAATCAACAATTAAATCCCCCCTTTGTTTGTGTGGCAGATGACAAATGCATGGAGGACATCTTGTGTTGCTGAGGCAGGCAGGGCACTTACTTTGATTGATGCTGGGTTGTGGAAAAAAAATGAGCTGGGAAAGAATTACAATGGAGGGCCCACAGACTGGAAGGGGATATACTAATTAGTCCTGCATTAAGCAGTCCGCTTGCATTTGGCAATAAGGCGCCTTCAGGAGGGAAGTGTAGGGGTTATTGATGCAAAACAGCATGGAATGCATTACTGCAGGTAGCTGCATAAAAGTTTTATTAGGAAGTAGAGAAGTTTGTGATGAAGATATAAACACTTTGGTTCCTGGGTTTTTTTTTTTTTTTTTGTTGTTGTTGTTGTTTTGTTTTTAACACTCCTAGATATGCTAAGGAGGCCCTGAGTTTTAAATTACATTATGAGCCTATGGACAATCGATAAGTTTTCGCTTTCTGAAATCACCCTTCCAGAGTTTCACCATCGGGGCAAAGCTTGTGTGGTTGTGTTGCTAGGTACCAATGAGGTGTATTCAATTCATGTTGTTGTTGTTGTTAAGTGCTGTCAAGCTGGTTCTGACCCATAGCAACCCTACATAGGTTTTCCAAGGAGCGGCTGGTGAACTTGAGCTACTGACCTTGAGGTTCAAACCAACTTTGCAGTCCAATGCATTAACCCACAGTGCCACACCAGGACTCAATTCATAGCAACCCCATATGACCGAGTAGTGCTTCCCCTTGGGGCTTTACGTGAGCAGATCACTAGGTCTTTTCTCCCTCAGAGCAGCTGGGTGGGTTTAAACTGCCAAGCTGTTGGTTAGTAGCTGAGGACTTAACCATTTGGGAAAGTACATGTGGTGAAGTACTGTTGAGTCAATTCAGTCTCCTAGTGACCCTGTATAAGGTCTCTGAGAGCAGCTGGTGAATTTGAACCGCACACCTTTTCAGTTAGCAGTCCAGTGCTTATCCTGAAGTACCGCACCAGGACTCTGGGCAAGGTGGAGCATATCCATAAAGAGAAAGGATGCTGCCTTCTGGCCACTCTTCAGGGTTTTAGAAAGTTGTTGCTGATTGGATCCAGAGAAAACCTTAGGGAGATGTATATATCTGAAGACTAATTTGGCTCCTCCTTCAGTCTAGATTATATGGGAATAAAGAGAAATGCAAAGCATGTACCTCTGTCTGGTTTAGCATTTGCAGTTTGCCCTTTTGTTTTTCTGGCTGTAGGCAGGGGTAGAGTGGTAAATGGTTGTGCTCAAACCTCTCTCATAATTCAAGATCGACACAGACAATCCAGGTAATTGGCGGGAGACATGACTGATATCTCAAAGCCGATACCTCCCGAGCAATAGACAACTGGAGGATGATGGAGAGGCAACGATGCTCAGTTACTAATAGGAATGGTTTAAAATGCTGAAATGATGATTTGGTTAATTGGGCCTGAAGAATCAATGACATGGGATTCAGTGATTCCTGTAAGGATTCACTTGAAGACAAAAGAGTCACAGAGGTCCTGGTCTGTGTGAAAGAAAGGGTACGAAAACTCCTGTGCTTTTAGAGTCCCAGAATAATTTCACAAACCCATTATGTTAGCACAGATGATGTGATTCTCAGTGATTCTTTTTGTTGACACACAATGCACTATGGGACATCTCATGTTAACCTAGGAATCCTGATGTGGCACTGTGGGATAATGCGCTAGACTGCAAGGTCGGCTTGAATCACAGGTCGGCTCCTCGGAAACCCTATACAGGATCACTATGAGTCAGAACCAAGTTGCCGGCACTTAACCACAACAGCACGTTAACCGAATGGGAAAGTAGATGGTGCAAGATTCCTTGTTCAACTTCTCAGTGTTGCTGAAGTTGGCTACATCTGAGACGCCCTGTTTTTCTTATTCTAGAGGCAGGTTCATTTATGGATTTACAGATGCCTGTGATGGGGGAAATGATAAAGATGGTATGTTTAATTAGCAAACGCTACCAAGTATTTTTAGTTTATCTGTAAACTGGAGCATAAGACTTAGACCAAAACCTCAGCTATCTCATCAGACTAAGCCTGTCTTTCATGCACACAACCAGGAACTGTGCCAATAGCTCTAGGAAGAAAAGCTAAATAGTTAATGTGGTTTATTTTTAACCATTCCTTTGTTTTAGAATTCTATCTTATTCTTGAACTGATTCTATATCATCATGACCTTCTCCTGCCAAGAAGGCACAGTTGAGGCATCATTCAGTAATAGCCTAGGGCTTTGGACAAGCAAGATGCTGTGCTGGCTTTTTGCCTTTTTGCTCAATGTTTATACAACCAAGACTTATTACATGCTCTGTCATTTTGTTACTCGGCTGGCTTTGGTTTGAGAATTAGGTAAACATCATACATTCCATCACACAAGTTTAGACTCAATCTTACTTTATAATGATGTTAATGTTTATTGTACAAAGCTAGATGCAGTTGTATATTTTAGCATTTGATTTCAGTCACAGAATGCAAAAGCTGACATTGGAATCAGTTTGATTTTTCTTTTTTTTCTTTCTTTCTTTTTGGTGATTGAAGATATTAAGCATTATAAGAACGTTGAAATTTCAATCTGATTAGGATCAAAATTCCTCAGGATCAAAACACTTCTTTTCCTTCCCCTACAGTTTTACTAATTGTGTGCTACTTGACACTGTGGAGTTATTTCACAGCATGATAGCTAAATATGTGAAGTGTATTTTACTGTGCAGAATGATCAGCTTATTCTATTTGTTTTTCATGTGTTTAAGATTATTAAAAGAACTCAAAATTAGAAGTCACGTGTAGGAGTTGAAAGTGTAAACTCATTGTTAGAAGGTTAAACCATAAAGCGATAGCCAGTATGTCAATATGAAGTAATGCAAAAAAGCAGAGATTCAAAAGCATACCTCTCTGTTTATTAGCTGGCAAGATACCAGAAAAATTAAGAGAACAGCACAATTGTGAGTGGCAGACTAGTTTATTTTCAGCACTCTCTACTGACAATGAGCAAAACGTAGTTCGGAAAGAATGGCATCAGACATATTTGTTGGAGACCTTGGCTTTACGGGAAGAAATGAACTGCCCTAGCTCACTGTTCTTGAGGAATTGTGTGTCTTCTAGCTGTAAATCAAATCCCAGAGAAATAGATAGCATGGTGTTTTCCAAATAATAACTGAGGATGACACGGTTTGTTTTGGTTTGGTTTTTTGGTCAGCATCACGTTTCTAAATTTAGACCTCAATTAAGATTCTGAAATGAAATCATCCCCTGTCCCCCACCCCTCACACATCCCAACATGCTCAATGACAGTGTTTTACAAACAGTCTATTGTTTTTTAAGTTTGTATCTCTGGCCTATATATTGATCCAAAAATATATCCATGGCATCCCCCTAAAGTTCTGACTTTTCCCATTTTCTCAGAATCTCCAGCTACAACAAAGAATGTGATGTTTCTCTTTAGGAAACAGCACCAATTTTTATTTCAATTAATCCAAGAGCCATCTGCTTCCATGATACATGACACCCATTCATACTTATCAACAAGTGTGCTGCCTAAATCCCTAGTGTGCAGTTTCAGACACACGCTCAGGGCTGGGAATGGAACCTGCTGGAAAGCCGTCCTGCAGGCAGACTCTTCCCAGAGTCCATGCAGCATATACAATTTAGCAGTAAACTTGGTCCCATGCCAGGGGTCTAATGCAGGATTAAAAACACAGCACAAGATGCATATACTCTGAGACTCTGGCTAGTTTACTTTCTGTCAGTTACGCTTTTGAAGATCTGAGTTTGAATTGAGCAAACAACTGCAAATAGCAGACGTGAAAAAATCTTTCTTGTACCACAGCACAAAGAGGGAGAACAGATAAATAAGAAAGCCACTTGGCTGAGTTTCATTACAAAGAGCACTTCATCTTCCAGCCATACCATTTAATTTGTGGGTACTTCATATGCCCTGACAACCAGAGATCAGAATTGGGTTTAGAAACATCTAGGAATCTATGTAGTGAGGGTCCTTATATTTCAAGACAACTCTGAATGGTCATGAAAAGGATGTGTGGTTGGAAGCGGGCACCCTCCTTCCCAAGTGGCCCACCACATCATAGTCTCTTGCCTTATGAGATTGTCAGACCCTTTCCAGGCACAGCGTAAATAGGCCTGCTGACTCTAGTGAGGGAAAGTGGCACTAGAATGTAGGTGTGTGAATTATTGTTTAGAGCCTGTCAGAATCCTGCTGGTCTGTCCTTGCTTACACACCACAGAAGGCGCTGTGGAGTTCAGTCTGTGGGTCAGGAGATGGGAATGAGACTCAAGTTGCTGACATGGGTTTCTCCCTTCCAGGAGCCAGGGCAGGGAGGGTACCTGCTTCTTTGAGTGACCCTCTCTCCAGAACACAGTGAACAAACACTGCCTTTGATGTCCGCTGTACTCACAGGATGGCTATGGTGACTTTTGTCTCTCCCTCTTGTGCTTCACCCTTGCCCCAGTTTTGTGGCTAGTCAAGTAGAAACTTTTGTGAAGAGCTGGCCTATTGGAGCTGCACTTCTTCCTATACATATTTTGAAATTGAGAAGAAAATTTCAGAGTTGAAGTTGCTCTCTAGGAAATAAAAGGGTCAAGAAAGAGCTTAAGACAAAGGTCTGCCTCCACCACCTCATGGGGGACAGAGTACAAGAGACCACAAAATTCGGGTTAGCACCCAAAGAGGCAGCAATTTCGCTGGGCCTGACTTGCAACTTTCAATCTAACACACATTGAAGTGATTTATATTTGAGTTTTTCTAACTGCATACCAAAGGTCATCTCAAATGTACACAGGAGAGATGCAAGGTAACATCACCAAACTCAACATAAATACCAGCCTGGATTGTACTCAGTCCCAACAGTACTCACGGTCCAAGTGACTGTGCCTGATGCCTTCAACATCTTCGGCATGAATGAAGTGGTAGCATCTCTTGCCTACAATGTCAACAGGAGTCAGATCCATATAATCACTAATCCTATCGGAGAAGAGCACAGGCTGTAAGTCAGAAATTGGGAAAATACAGAAATGATCCAGTGACTTAGAAACAAATCTATGAACACATTTTCATGATACCAGAGCAACTATGAAGCTGTGGCACTTTGAGGGAAACCCTTTTATAGGTCATTATGACTCAAAGCAACACTGTATGGGGCTTCTGAGGAGCACCTTGTGAGCCTGAACCACCAACCTTGCGGTTCAAGCTAACCTTGCAGTCTAGCACACTAACCTGCAGAACCACACCAGGGTTTACAACTTTAAACAAAATTGTTTAAACTTTAAAACAAATTTAAACAGTCCTGGTGTGGTGCTGTGGGCTAATACGTTGAACTGCAAAGTTAGTTTGAACCACAAGCTCATTGGTTCAAGCTCACCAGCCACTCCTCAGAAACCCTATACAGGGTCGCTATGGGTCAGAACCAATTCGATGGTGATAGCACTTAACAACAATGCTACATCAAACAGTTACGTTTAATCTTGTTTTGGCACCCCAATGCACATTTAGGCAACAGAATTCCATAAAATTACTGAGAATCAATAACAATGCAAGATCCTCAGATAAGGCCAAGATAATTCAAGGTTACATAGTAAAATAAAAACATGTTATGTTGATACCAAATGATTAGAGACACCTTTCATTTCAACAGATTGGTCTTCTATTGGGTATTTCCATGAAAAAGCACTTCAACTGCTTCTTGGCACAAAGTCCAAATTGGCATTTCAAGGGATATAATTTAAATGCTGAGATACACAGATGCCTGAGGGTATTATCTTTTTCAGTCTTACTCATTTGGGAGCTCAGCTTTCACTCCTGGCCCTTTTAACTGGCACTTTGTGGTAGATTCCACACAGAAACTTTTAAACTGTTTCAGCAGCTCTTCCTGGCTTATGCTAGACAGTCCGTGTGTGTAAGTTTCTGTCATTGATTGTCCAGATGTCAGTGTCCTCAGGCAGGAGCGCAGAAAAATAGAACAGAAATGGGAAAACATGTTGGGAGACTTGGCCGGGTTTACACAGACACCTCGAGATGTGTATTTCCCTCCTCCCTGTCTGCAGACAGATTCGTTTTGGTCAGTCCAAGATAGACTATAATTTAAAATTCAATTTATTTCCTTTACTGATCTTTTTTGGGTTTTATTTCTTATAATTTAGGATCTACTCAAATAGGAAGTGAATCTTTAGAAATGATGCTTTTAACAAACAAGAGATGGTTCTTGAGGAGTTGAGTCTAGCCCTCAAAGTAGGGAAGTAAACAAAAACAGTATCATATGGAGCATAATTAAAACACACCACTCAGTGAGTACATTCCTCTAGCAGTTTAATTAGCTTTTGGCAGAAAACTTTTGGCAAAACTAGAATTCTTGGTAAGATAAGACTAATTGGGGAACTAAAAAGGGATGTTTTCTAACGATCCCAGGGTTTTTCTGGTACAAAACAGATTAGTTGGTGTTTTCCTAAAACCATTAGCTGTTTTCCAAGAACAGTTTACACTCTCTTTCTGGGATGTCATTAAAAGACCCTCAATAGTGTTTCTGAAATTTGCCAGTTCCTCTGAAAGCATCACATGTGTGCTTTGCCTGAGGATGTCCTGGGGACTGCCAGAGGAGAAGAATGGTCTGCAGTGGCTAGGAGGGAGCTGTAGTTTCCAACTGACAATTCCCTAATTAAATAATAAACCCCAGGAAAAAGCCACTCTGGTCTTTAGGGAAGACATTTCTTTAGCTTGTTCTCTATTTGAATGAAACCCTTGAAAACCATTTCCTGGAGGCCCTCTATGCACTAGAGCCCGCTGCTGTGGAGAACATGACCCGCTCAGTATTCAAGGATCTCTTATTCTATGTGTAGACAGCACAAGAGCTGTTCAATGACCTAAATCAGGATTACAATTCTGACAGCACCCTTTCCTCTGAGTCTCAGTTTCCTTATCTGTAAAACAACCTAAGGGTTTGGTTGGTGAGAGGATTCGTGAATGAAATGAAGCAAATTTAGCATAGTGCCTGGCACACAGTCTGCGTTCCTGTTGGATCAAATATGCAATTACCTTTAATACAGGTCTTTTTCATAATTACTATCATCTTCAGTTGGGAAATAATGCTGTATTGTATAGGCTAATAAGGGGGTGTGGAAATCAGCTTTTTTTTTTTTTTTTTAATGGGAAGAAATAAGCTACAATTAGGTCACAGAGAATGATCTCCATTACTAGAGTGACACCCATAAGGCATGCATGTCCTTGGAGTGCATCTAAAGAAAGGATCAATCTGTGATCATACGAATAGAACGGAAGCGCTGGTTTGGGGACAGGACTATTAGTGGAAGTTACGTTAAGTAAGACGAACCTCCCTTTGTTGGAGAAACAGGGAATAGTAAATCTAAATCAAGGAAGCTGACATTTCTTGAGTTTTGAAAAAAATCTTACTTTTCCAAATACTAGAAACCATGGTTTCAAAGAAGCAAAGACATATAGTTCATTCTTTGACTCTTACACCTGCTTCCCTGGGCGGAAGCTCCTTCTCTAGCTCTCTTGTTTGTAGTCAGAATAAACTGCTTAGCTGGCTGGCTGTCATGGTGTCCCTTCATGGCTTATATGCATGAAGGGCTCCCCTCAGAGGTTACTAAGTTGGTTTCCTACCAGTCAGCCTGACTTCTGAAGAAAATAAGACACAAGAAATCCAGGGAGAGACCTCACAGTATGTGTCTAAGTGCATGGGCTTTTAAATCCAACAGACCTGGGTTCTAATCTGACCCCAAGCAAATCACTTACACTTTTAAATCCAACAGACCTGGGTTCTAATCTGACCCCAAGCAAGTCACTTACACTTTTAAATCCAGCAGACCTGGGTTCTAATCTGACCCCAAGCAAGTCACTTACCCTTTTAAATCCAACAGACCTGGGTTCTAATCTGACCCCAAGCAAGTCACTTACCCTTTTTCCCTAAGCATGAGTTACTTGAGGATAACAGTGACAGTAGCACTATGTAACTCAAAGAACTGTTGGGAAGTTTAAATGAGATGGTCCTATAAGGTGCTTAGCACATCATCTAACACCTAGCAAGTATTCAATAACTATGTTTATTATTAGGTATCCCAGGTGGTACAAATATTTAATGGGTTCACCTACTAACTGAATGGTTGGAGGTTCAAGTCTACCCAGAGGCACCTCAGAAGGAAGGCCTACTGATCTTCTGAAAAAGCAACCATTGAGAATCTTACGGAGCACAATTCTACCCTGACACACGTGGGGTTGTCAAGAGTCAGAAATGCCGTGAAGCCAACTGTTACCTTCATTATTACTTGCCAACTCCAGCTAATCATTCTGACTAACTAGTCTCTGCTGATATTCTGCATACATTCTAGAACACCTTAGACATAAGCAAGTATAGTTAGGACATTAAGCATTTTCATAAATGCTAACTACTCTTGAAAAGTAAATTCAGAGTTATCAAACAATAGTGGTGGGCTCATGGTTATTATAGTCTGACCCACTGAACTCTAATAACTCAGGTGGGTTTCTTTTCTCACTGGGGAATTCTTTCCTCAGAATGAAATCCTGACTGGAAATAGTTGGCAGTTTCTAACTTGATTCCTTGATTTGTTTAGCTCTTCACAATGGTGTGGAAGCAGAAGTTTCTGTCTTCCTCATGGCTAGCTCTTAGGGAGGTCAATTTGCCCATGCCACTTGACCGTTCTCTCTCTCATTTCCCCTCTGAAGGTGTCCACAAAGCTCATTGAACATGTATCACCTTCACGCCCAAGGATAATGTGTGCCACAAAAGCATCCTCCCCATGGTGATTTGGTCATTCTCTCTAGGCAACAGGGGATGGTGATATCGCCGACGCTTGCTTCTGAGAGCCACACATGTGCAGTTCTCTCCACACCCTCTCTCTAGCCCACCCTCCTGCTCCCATGATTCTCTCTTCTTCCAATCAGTCTGATGATGGGCAGGTGACATCTAGGTGAAAGGTCTGAAGGGGCACTGTCCCATTTCCTTGTCCCTTGCTCTGCGCTTAATGGGAAAAATGAACTTTTTAACCAGAGGCTAAAAAGTGATTTTATAAAAAGCTCAGTCTTGAGGAAGAACTGCCAACTCATTTATACGATGAGTAATCTTTTTTTTTTAATTTATAAAAGTGCAATCCTCAGGATTACAAAGTTTTCTGTAATAGTTTTGCAAATTTCTTTTTCCTACTTTTCCCAGTGAGGGACTGCTAGTCTCATTTGTTCTCTCTGTGCTGAATGCTTCTGTGAACACTGACCGTCTGGAGGCTGGGCCCTTGCATTAGTCAGGAAGTGGGTCTGGCTGAAGCATCAGGGGACACTTTTTACTGCGTCATTTTGCCAATAACGTACGCCTCGGCCCTGCTTTCTCCTTGGGTTTCTCAGCCAAAATGGGTTTCATTATTGCATACGGATGCCTGGGTATCCCAATTCATTCAATTGTTGTGCCTAATGTAAATCAGGGTAGCAATGTAAATTTTAAGTAAAAAGCATGTTGGTGTCAGTCCAAGCAGCTATTAAAAACAACATCAGGATATATAATGAGGCTCATTGGGAGAGTAAAATCCTTCAGTCTGCTGCAAACACAAACCCTTTCCCCACATGCAATATACAACAGGGCAAATGAAAACAAAACAAAGTACCTATTTTCACAGTAAATGATATTGAGGTCCATATTTACTCGTGTGACGAACATATGGCAGTCGATCCTGACTTCATTGATTGTAGGGGGAGGCAAGGCATGAGCCACAACCACAAGACCCATGATTTGGCTAGGGACAGTCCTCCCGTGAGACAGTGAGACTCTCAGACGTAGCCGGCCTGTTACATGAATCACCTGTAAGAGAACATTAAGTACACAATGCATTAAGTGGTGCAAAAGTCAAATTTGCATCCCAGATGAGACAGTATTTCTTCTGAGAAACACAGAAGTACATCTGGAACAAACAACATTAGCTGGTATCATCTGTAATCACAATATGTCAGTCTGCCCTCAATGTCTTTCAGGGCAAGAGACAAAAGAGAAATCATATTATACTCTGAGCATTCCTCAAAGCTGCATTATTACTGGCTATTGCTATTTTTCAGGACTTTTTTTTTTTTAATTTAGGAAAATTCATAGCCAGATAAAGTAACCAAGAAGTTGAGTACTAAACTGAAAAAGTAAATGTATTATTGGCCCTTGTTGAGGGGAGCTATTTGTCTCACTCCAAGCTTGTACCAAGCGGGATACATGGACCATATTCCTTCACTTGAGCTGTCCTCTATTCAGGGATTGATACTGCAATGAATAAAAGACTGAGAGGCAATGCCATGAATGGGTTCTGTGGAGCACAGATACTACATATTTAGGCAGCATCGAATAACCAGTAATACAGTGATTTATTGCAATGGCTTGTGGATTTGGTGCACAGGGGACTCTGAGGTGGCTTGCTCCATTTTGGTTGCAGCTCAGAATGGAGAGGACTGGGATGTCATTTCTGGTTTCTTTCCTAAAGTACACCATGTAGTGGTTCAGGCCATTCAGAACAACAACAATAAAAAAATACATTTGATTCACTATCCTCAACCATTTTAAATTGTATTTTTATTTTTTTTTTGAAAAAGTTCCTTGGTGTATTAGCTATACAGAGAAGAGGAGTAGAAATAACCACACAAGGGTAAAAAGTCTGCAGGACCTGTGTGGCTGTGCTTTGGGGTGATGGGAGTCCGGTGTGTGCGTATAGTGGGCATTGGGAGGCAGTAGTGCCGTGTGTGAACTCTAGCTGTGTTTCTGGGACTCGGTTATAGGCTAGGGACCCTCCAGCCCTAGCTGTGGGTAATTGTTGTGATTTACAGTACCACGGAGCTCAGTTTAGTAGCTGAGTTCCCACATTTACTTTGTCCTTCCAACAGTATTGTTGACTGCCTAACCACCTTTGGGGATCCCAATTTTCCCACTTTGCCATCAGAACATGGAAGTGGGTTTATCACTTCCAAGGAACGATGTGATCTAGCCCCTACCCAGCCCCTGCTTGTGTTCCCAGGGGATAGACTGGTAATTCTGTTTCCATTTTTATTCTCGTTTCCTTTAAGTTAATTCAGTTTTCCAAAAGCAAGCCACACTCCTGTCAGTCAGGAAACAGGATCAAAGCTTATGGGGCTACACTGCAGAGTCCTGGCTGTTCGGAATAATACCCCTTCCCTGTCACATTTCACATTTGTGCCCAGAGCTGCTGATCTGGAAACACCAACGAGTAAGATTATGTAGGTTATTTCAGGAGCAGTTTCTTGACCACCCACATTTGAAGTTGACTAAATTAATGTACCTTTGCTTTGAGCTTTGGTCCGGCTAGCTACTTTATGAATATTTGAAAATGTTCCTAGAGGCAAGGATGCTCAAACGCCATCACAGACACACATTGCTGCAAGACCTCATTAACTAATAAAGAAATAAATAGCTAAAAGAAATGGGATTAACTTCACAGGAGGGGTGTTAAGAGTGTCTGGTCCTCCTCCCAGCTAGGCTTACATAGATGCTTATTTATCATTATCTGTCTTGTTTTATCAGGAACGCTCAGCTTCTTAGAAAAACACAGATCTACAAATGCTCAGGAAAACATATACCCAGAAATGGTATGCTAAGTAAATCCCCACTTGATACTCTATTCAAAAGCAATTTAAAGGCGTCTGAGCTGAAAATCATTTTGGAAAGGCATTCCGGTGAAACTGGGAAGGCTTCCTCTTACATGGCTGATTGAATGGAGCTTCCTCTGTCTAGCTTTGCCTGTGGACACTGGTGTTGAAAGGCACCAAAAAGAGAATCTAGTTGGGTCTGAAGTCTCTGGGTGATGTAATTGATTAACACATTTGGCTGTTAAATGAAAGATCAGAATTTGAGTCCACCCAGGGAAACTCAGAAGACAGGCCTGGCTGTCTACTACCAAAAAATTAGCTCCTGAAAACCCTATGGAACATGATTCTATTTTAACATACGTGAGGTCAACCTTTAGTCAAAATCAACTTGAAGGCAACTGGTTACTAGTAGTAGAGGTATGTTGTTGTTATGTACTGTCAAGCCAGTTCTGATTCATAATAACCCCGTATAGGGTTTCCAAGGAACGCTTGGTGGATTTGAACTGTCAGCCTTGTGGGTAGCAGTCCAGTGCTTATCCTACAGCACCACACCAGCACTCTAGTTGTAGTTGTTAAGTGCTATAGAGGACTTCAATGGAGACCTAGATTTACTATTTTCTGCCTTTGTTTTATGCTGGACAAATTACTAGATTACTCTGTGTTTCCATTTCCTTTTCTGTGAAATGGGGAGAATAATGACTTTTATATTCTCAAATTGAAAAAAATCAAAAGAAGTGGAACACGGTATACAAGGTCAGACGTCTACTACACATTGTATTACAATGTTCTTATTTGTTTTGAAAATATCACCCTATTAATACACACAACTGCTAAATGCAAGGTTGGTAGTTCAAACCTATCAGCTGCTCTGCAGAAAAAAGAAGAGGCTTCCTGCTCCCCAAAAAGATTAGCATCCTTGGAAACTTTATGCAGGGTTACCATGAGTGAGAATCAATTCCATGGCAGTGTTTTTTTTATCATTATTATTATTAATAATAAAGGTTAGGACTGATTATTAATCTTATCCTGACCAAAGACATAATAAATGCTGTATCATTTTAAAAGTTTGCAAAGTTCACAAGTGGAGGAAAATTGGAGAGTATATATCTGCATACCCTCCTCTTCCACTTTCCAAATGAAAACAATAGAGCCTCTGAAAACTTCCTTTCCTGTCTAAAGTTACCCGGGTTGGTAATGAAAAACAGTCTGGAACTCAGGTTTCCAGGTTTGATTTGACTGTCACTTCAGCTATTATCCTTGAGAGAAAGATGAGGCTACCTGTTCTAGTAAAGACTTAAGAGCCTTGAAAACCCCTATATTGGGTCCCTATGAGTCTGAATCAACTGGATGGTAGTTGGTTTTTTGTGTTTGTTTGTTTGTTTCAACCATTATGCACAGAAAATTCTTTGTTACGGAGTCCTGGTGTGGCGCTGTGGGTTAATGCACTGGACTGCAAGGCTGGTTTGAACCACAAAGTCGGCAGTTCAAACTCACCCGCTGTTCTTAGGAAACCCTATACAGGGTTGCTAAGGGTCAGAACCAACTCCATAGCACAACAATAATATCCTTTGTTATACTTCTGTGCATTATATATGCATATTCATATTGAATGAAAAGTTCAAAGTTTCATCAATATGTCAGTTTACTACCCTATGTAAACAAAAATTGCAAATCAATTGCAATCAAGTCAGTTTCAATTCCTGGTAACCCCCTTGTTTCAGAGTAGAACTGCGCTCCAAAGGGTTTTTAATGACTGTGATCTTTTGGCAGTAGATGTGTTAATAAACATTTAAAGAGATTCCAAATTTAACAAGAAACTCAAGTGCAATATATCAGAAAAGTCTTTGTGAAAAAGCACAAAATTAAAAAAGATAAAACAAAGAATATTACTAATGCAATGACTAAACGATTAGAGG